GTGTGTGTGTGTGTGTGTGTGTGTGTGTGTGTGTTACGACCCTGCACCCTGAAGAAGAGTGATTCTTGCCAGGGCTAGTACCGCCTTCTGCATGTAACAAAACGAACATCCCCTCATGACGTCCTCTCTGAAAAACTGACGTTTGTTCTCGATGTTGTTGCTTGTGTTGGTGTTGTTGCTTGTGTTGATGTTGTCGTTGGTGTTGATGTTGTTGCGGGTGTTGATGGTGTCATTGGTGTTGATGTTGTCGTTGGTGTTGATGTTGTTGCGGGTGTTGGTGCTGTTGCTTGTGTTGATGTTGTTGCGGGTGTTGATGGTGTCATTGGTGTTGATGTTGTCATTGTTCTTGATGTTGTTGCTTGTGTTGGTGTTGTTGTGGGTGTTGATGTTGTTGTGGGTGTTGGTGTTGTTGCTTGTGTTGATGTTGTCATTGCTCTTGATGTTGTTGCTTGTGTTGGTGGTGTTGCTTGTGTTGATGTTGTTGTGGGTGTTGGTGATGTTGTCTTTGGTGTTGATGTTGTTGCGGATGTTGGTGGTGTCATTGGGGTTGATGTTGTTGCGGGTGTTGGTGGTGTGGTTAATTCAGAGAGGAAGTATACCTTGCAATGTCAGTGTCATGAAGTGTTGTTAGCAGACTTTCTTTGACTGTTGCATCATCCCAAAGTGATGAGTTTGATCTAGATTAGTTACAAATTAATGGTCCATTACTTTAGTGGATGGGTATTAAGCCTACTTGCTAACATGTATTGCGCTCAATTTACGTTGCAAAATTTTGAATTTCTAAAGGACAATTTTGATTGGAAGTGTGTTGTGTGGAGTGTCATATTGATTGCCAAACATGAATTCGATTTTTTTATGATCATGATTAGTAGTGATGTAGAAAATCACTACCTTCGGATAATGTTACCACTGAATTGTTGGCTTTTCTTTACACTTTATGTTTCTTTCCTCAGTGCTGGCATTGGACGAACGGGATGCTTTATAGCTATCAGCATTGGTATCCGACAGTTGCGAGAGGAGCATTCAGTGGATGCTCTGGGCATAGTGTGCTCCATGAGAATAGACAGGTTGGTACTGTCAACTATTATTGGCCTTCACAGGCTGTGCAGTGATAATATGATAATACATGTATTAGAAAATAATAATAATAATAAATAGCATTTGTATAGCGCATGTCCCCGCTCAACAGCAGGCTCTATGCGCTTTACACTATATTATTACCCCAGCAGACCATAGAACACTTCGAAACATTCTCAGCTTCCCGGGAAGCATACAGTGCAAGCAGCTGATTAAACGCTCAAACACTAACAAACTGACAAGATCTTTCGCTGTCTATAGCCAGGTACCCATTCCCACCTGGGTGAAGTGAGGAAAATTCGTGTAAAGTGCCTTTCCCAAGGACACAACGTCGGGCCCCTGACGGGATTCGAACCCACGACCTTACGGTTGCGAGTCCGAGATGAATGCTTTTTTGTTCACAAGTGTGGTTGAGAATATGACTCCACAATCAGTGAAAAGAATCGTTCTCATCTAAATCTGTAGCAAAGAAAAACAAAACAAAGACATGCAAGTTGGGTTACTGATAAAAATTATCAGTAGAATACTCTTTGTTCTTACTGTGCTTAAGAATACAGTATAACACTGATAGCTGGAATTCATCGGGACCAGCCTCGATTGTTTAAGGGATATCTTACAAAGATAAAGAAGAAAGGAAAAAACAGGATGCAGGCACGGTTTGACAGATCGTCTGATTTTGATTCTTCTATGTTCGATCTATCCGTGTTATATTGCATGTGATTGTCAGACAAATAGATTAATTATATATATATAATTTATGGACATTAATTTTGATTTAACACGTTTAATATCAGCAGCATTTTCTACATTGTATTACAAATCATTCACTCTTCGAGCGAAGTGACTGACGTCAGAGGAGAAATAGTTTATCTTTTTGCCTGTCATTAAAGGACAGGAGTATAATTCACTCGGGTGTGGGGGTGGGGGGGTTAAATAAAAAGTGGTCTCTGTGTTCTTTTTTTTTAGAACATCACTATAGCGGCACCCGCTACAGCGGGACCTTATCGGAAACCCCTTTTTTGGGTCTATGTAAAGTCAGTTACCTGTGCTTGGATTTAGCGGGGCAAGGAAAGGGCCGAACTCGGATACAGCCGGAG